TACAACATTACCTATAACGGCCTTCCTCCTATCTATAGAAAATACAATAAAAAACAACCGCAAAAACTAAAAGTATCCCTAAATGCTCTTGGAGAGGAAGACTTCAAGTTCTACCTCACAAAGAATTTTCCTCGTCTATTGTTTGATAATTTCAAATCCAAATTGAACATGATTGACATCTATGTTTCAACTTGAGATGAAGTGTTAGAAGTTATTAAGAATTGATTTATTTTCTTTCATGTTGTTTCTTATCTTATGTCTTTCCTTTTATCACTGGGTAGTTATTAGAAATTGATTAATTATAATCTTAGAGATATATACGTTATGTTTTTCATATTTTTGTCTTTTTTTTTATCTTATGGTCATTATTGGAAATTGTTTAATTGTAACCTTGAAGATATGGGTGTTATGCCTTTTCTATTTTAGGATTTATATAAGTTGTATTTATTCCCATCTTTCGTATCAATAAAGAATTCCGCTCTATTCTCAAAACCTACACCGATAACAGTCATAATAAGCAAAATATACCCATTGTTCAATTATTTTAAGAAATATGCTTGAAATTTATATTGGCTCATTTGCCCTTGTTTTGCCTATATCTCCATTTCAAGTATTTCCCACTAAAAAGATTGAGCGGCAAAGTTCCAATATCCCAACTCCTCTATACATTCTCCAGTGTCAATGTCATCATCCTTTCATTATTAAGATTTCTTTGTTCAGTGGAATAAGAAGATCATGATTATAAAGTTAGATTGAACAAAGTAGTCTAACACTAGCATTCAAAGTAATCATTAAGTCTTTATAATATTTAAATGATTTTATTTTATTTGTTCTGAAATATTGTGTAAAGTTTGAATCATATAAGCATTTAAGTAATAAATTGAGAAAATTTTTATGGAGACCTAATGTTAGAAGCCAAGTTCGAACCATATGAACTTTGAATGATGTATCACATGTTTATTCAAACATTAATTGAATGATTTTCAAACATATTCAAATGTAGGTTGAAGGCATTCAAGCCTCATTCAAACCATGCTCAAATATCGATAAAAAATTTTTTAACATTGCTAAAAAATTATGCAAGCATTGCTCGAATATTAACGCATGTTCTTCGAACCTTACTAGACTTGTTCAAACAAGGTTCAAACAATGTTCAAGCGTGCTTGAACAACGTCCGAGCATGAATCAAACAAGATTCAAATAAGGTTCACACAATGCTCTAACCATGTCTGAACATTGTTCAAGCACATGTTACCATACATTGTGGTCTTGTGCTTATATATTATAAGCAACTTCTTTATAAAGATAACTTACTTTCAAAACTTTTGTGTAAAATGGAGAACTAAAAGAAGACAACCAATTTAGTGGGACATATATTGGGAACCGAAGCAAAATATTGATTGATTCAAAAAAAAATTTCAAGAAAAATCTCAATAGAATCTAATCTTCCTTTCTTCTTAAATGAGATATCCATTTCTATTCAAGACCAATCTTAAATTTGTGCGCCTATTTCTCCCAAAAAAATATTCAATAACAGATTATAGTGCAAATGAGGATGATTCAAAGTCAATCAACATGTCATCATTCATTAATATAAGAGCTGAGCAAAGCAATATTATGGACATACATAATACAAAAAAGAAAATGTAGAAAATATGGTAATAAAAAAAATTCTCAAGAATTTTTTACCTGTGAACCCTAGAGAATATATATATATATACAACTCCAAGAGGAATTACAAACTAGGAATACACCAAAAAAAGAGATAAAATAATTAGGGATAGTGATCCTATAGAAAAACACGTGGATTACAATCTATGTGTCTTGATCTAACAGTACAGAGCCTTGATACGTGTGCATAGATCTAACGGCACAGAATCTCGATTTGTGTTTTCATATAACAGTGCAGAGCCTTAATCTAACGGTACAGAGTCTCGATCTGCTATGCCTTAAGTTCTTTGTTATCATTAGAGTAGAAAGTTACCACCTCTTCAAATTGAATAGTATTGATTTTTCATTCCAAGTTTGCTTATGATATTTTAAAATGTGTGATGCATAGTCCTTTAGTGAATGTCAACCAGTTGATTTATTTTCAACACATATGGAATATAAATCAGGCAACTTTCTAATTGTTCTTTTATAAAGTGTCTATCAACTTTAACATGCTCAGTATAATCATGTAATACAAGATTGTGTGTAATAATAATGGTTAATTTGCTATCAAAATAATTTCATAGGCTATTTCCACTTGATTTATATATCCTCTAATATAATTTTAACTTATAGAAATACACAAATCTCCTACGAAATGGCTTTGAACTTGCCTTCAGCATTTGATCTTGAAACCATGGGTTGTTTCTTATTTCTCTAAGTTATGAGATTTAACTTAAAATATATAATATCCTAATGTAAACATTCTATCCATTAGTGATCTCGTATAGTCTGCATCAATATATCCTTCAATTTGTCGGGTATCATATCTTTTGTAAAAAATTTCATT